GTTTGTCACATGATTCAGAGTCCAGGAAGCCAGGGAGGTGGGATATGGTTTAGGGGAATGGGTGAGTGGTTCTGTGAAGTGTTTTAATTAGATAACCCCGAGGTTTACCACTTTAATATCTACCTCTCGCTAAATTGATTTTTAAATCTCATTGAGAGATAATTTTCAGAACAGCAGCTGGCACATGCAGATGTGTGCAGTATGAGGTGTTTACTCCATTCAGCTATAACTTTATTGAATGAACCACAGGCTACTGTGGCATGTTGCCAAAGCCAAGATAAAGAAATGCTGCTGCTCACTGGGTTATTATCCTCAGGCTTGGTAGAGCTAACTTGATAGCTCCTGCTCTCTCTCACCTGACTCTCCACCAGCCTCAAACAGCAACGCAGTCAGTCTCACGACCGACTGCCAGCCGCAAAGCACGCTGTCTCCAAGATACACAGTGCACCCGTGACTGACAGCTAACTTTTCTACCACTGCAATACTTCAGAGTTCAGTGTAATGTTAGCAGCTCTGTCTGTTTGTTTGTTTGTTTGTTCGTTTGTTTGTTTGTTAACATTGCAACAACTCAGCCCAAACTCATGAGCTAGTGGCAGAGATAGTGGAGTGGCAAGCTTTAGCAGAAGTTAGTCCTCATCTTGAAACGCCTCTTATAAAAAGTATGGTTTAAAATACAAACAATACATTTAAAATCAAACCTCTGTGTTGCTTGTAGTATTGTTGTCTATTTATATTTTTGTACTGGAAGACTATGGCTGACTTTCTTACAGTACCACAAAAATGCTGTTCTTTATTTTTCACTTGGATGATTGACTGGAGAGGAGTCCCTCTCTGCCTGGTACATGCAGCTTTAGCCTTGATCTTTTAGCTCTGTCATGTCATGTATGTAGCCATCATCATCGTGCATGTATATTTAGGACTCCTGCTTTTCAAACAAAATGGCTGGAAACAGTAAAAGGTGAGCTGGAGAGGGAGCATTCAGCCAAATCATGGTGATAACGTAGATAAGCGAGCTAGCTAACTGCAACAAATGCTAAAATCTTCTAGCAACATTCATAATTTTAGCAAATAAAATATATGGTTATCACTGAGAAATGAGAGGCAGGTTTTGTTTCCTTCTGTGTGAAATCAAAAATCCACTGTTTTAATGGTAAATCTGCCACTGTTATCATTGTAAACTATGTGACGTGCTAGAATGGAAAGCTTAACAGGCATCACAACATTAACTGTAAAGGGGGGTTTAGCAAAATGTCATTATTAAAAGTAATTTAAAAAAATACTGTAACAGTAACCTGCAGTCTGTATTCTCAATACATTTGAGTGAGTCTTGGCTGTGGATATTGTATTCCTATATAAAACGGGGTGAAATGCAACCCTGGGGAACACAGTTATCTCTGAGAAAACTGACTTATAATCCTTAGCATAAATACATTTTGCTGATTTGCTAAGAGACTGCATATGTAAAACTATGTGCAGAACAGTTACCACTGGTGAAAAATGTATTAAACCTGATCTGCCAGGGTGCGTAGATTACTACATTTATAATCCCTCTACTGTTTGAAATATGCAGTACATCTAACAAAATGTACAAATTATTAAAGGAGAATGTGTAAATAGATTATTAATGTGACAGAATAAGTCACTGCCGGAAAGGTAACTGACTATATTATACTATGAAGTACAGAGGAATAGCAGCCGTTTAACACACATCTATTCAAAGATGTTAAGTCGACTGTGAGCAAACTCTGATGTAAAATTCTGATGTAATCTGAGTTCTTTTCTATAGTTCATAGTGTCATTGACAGAATTAGTGTTTTTTGAGTGTGTCGCTAATTTTAAGTGTCAAACATTAACTCAAGATCCATTTGCTAGCTTAGTCTTGGAAGTTTTAACTTTATCACACTGATTTCAGCAGGTGGAGTATGCTTAGTTGTCATGGTTCTGTTGACATGTGAGCTTAATAGCACTGATTCAGTCTTTCATGTTGGCTTAAAAGTGAAGCATCAAATTTCATTATTGCCTTTGGAAATAACAGTTTAACAGAACAGTCCAGATTAAAGGTCTATTAAGTATTATAGTTTTTGCTGGAGTTTTTATCTGTAACACCATCGGGAATACCGGGACAAATCCCAGTGGACCGGCGCGTGGGTGGGCCAGTGGACTGTCAAAAAATCCATAATGTTTTTACCAGCCCTGTCAGGTTCTTTACCGACCCTCTGTGTGTGCCTGTCAATTGGGGTGCCACATGAGAGCGTACTGGATGCATGTTCCAGGATAGGGCTGACTGACCAATCACAACCAAGTCTCAGCTCCCCTGAAAAAACTCAGCTTCAACTGTATGGTTCAAAGACTTCAGCCAGGGCAGGTAACTTCCTAACGGAGCAGTCATTATAAATATCATAGGGCTCTTCTCTGAAGTTGAAGTAAAATATGTACATATTTATATACTTTGGCAACTCAGCTGAAATATTACTGGGATTAAGAATAGAGGCTTTGGGCTTTGCATTCAATCAGATGTTGTTTTTGAAATATATGGGTATAAATTGTAAAAGGCAGATATTTTGCAGTCTATGCTTTTCAGAGCCTTGAAGAATTCAGCGACTGAAATTGGTTCAAGTCCAAAACAATTTACCAAAAAAATGTGATGCTGTTGAAAGCAATAGAATTTCACAGAGAAGGTCATGACTCATAAACAATGTTCTTTCTTGCCAAAATATATTTTAACACACACACACACATATGCACGTGTGCGCTCTCACAATGAATACGTCACCTGTGTAATACAGGGCTCAGTTTGTGGCTTCATTCCGTTTTATGGATGCAGGCTATAATACCTATGGATGTGTTTGTTTTGAGGTTTTAAGCAGTAGATCGCTTTTGCTCTTATTCTCACTCACTGTAAACATCATATAGCCGAGCACATGCTTATTTGGAACATTTTGTGCAGTTTTTGGAATTTTGTAATCTATCAATGACAAAAATGCATTCAAGTTTTTTCTGTAGTTTTATAGGAGGTAAGTAAAAAAAAAAATTGGTTTGGCAGTTAAACGTGACTGAGATCCAGTGGCAAACCCTCCAACTTAGATCAGGGTACTTCCAGCAAACACAATTGTCCATGTTCAGAAGGGGAAGCTGGTGAGGGATCATGTACTCGTCCATGTCCGTATACATATTCATCGCATTATCCAAAAAAATTTTTTTTTTTTAAGGAATTGTTCCACATTTTAAGAAACACGCTCATTTGCTTCCTTGCTGAGAGGTAGATATCAGAATTGGTGCCACTCTTATGCATACACAGTGAGCATGAAGCTACAGCCAGTTAGCTTAGCCTAACATACAGAAATAATAGGAAACAGTTAGCCTAGCTTTCTTCTAAGATAAAAAAAGAAAAGAAATTAGCAATGTTAAAGTTCACTAATTAACATATATCTTGTTTGTGAACTCAACAAAAACTAATGTAGTAATGTCTACTCAGTAGTCATGGGTCGAAATGTCAACATGGGCGTCATGGCTGGTGTGATCTCATGCTCTTGAGTTAATCATATATTGCATTTGCAATTGTTACTGACTTTGTCTCAACACATAGAGACTATCTTGTCTTGTCTGACAACGACCATCACACCAGCTGTGATGCCTGTCATCATATTGACATTTCAACCCATGAGTACTCAACGATCATTACTACATCATCGCAAGACTCCCCAGTACTCATGTACTCATCTTCGAACTCGGCCTTCATTTCAATCTCAACTACTCACCTGTTAAGTTTCCTGACTGTATCTTGTACGGCTGTCACGTTGTTGTAGTGATAAAAATTTGTCCATAGACATTTCAACACCTGCCAAAGTAGTCAAAAGCGTCCCCCACCACAGTAGGTGTCTCCAGCAGTACATTTTGCCATGATGACGCACACATACACCAGCCACACACACACACACACACACACACACACACACACACATGAGCTTCTATCTTTGTGACGACACTTGTTGACATTTGTTACCCGCTTACCCTAACCTAAACCTAATTCTAACCGTCACCTTGAAACCAGGTCTTCACCCTCAAACAGCCTTTTAAAGTTGTGAGAACTGGCCAAAATGTCCTCACTTTGCTAAAATGTCAAAAATGCATTCAAGTTTATTCTGTAGTGTTGCAGGGGGTAAGTAAGAAACAAATTGGTTTGGCAGTTAAACTCTAAAACTGGTCCTCACAAAGACAGAAGTTCTCACACACAGACTCAAAAGGCCAGCCACACTTTCACGGCTAGTAAAAACTAGTTTTTCATGTTTATAATTAGAGAGAGAGGGAGACCAAGAGAGGGAGGGAGGTAGACGGTCTTGTTCAAACCTCCGCTCCTCATGTTTTTTTCGCCTGTTTGCTGGTCACCCGGTCAAACTTCTTGCTGAGTCCAGATGGAGTCAGTCGGGGGTGACGGCTCATGCCAAATATCAAATTCAAAACCCCAAGTCTGTCTTGTATGAATCAGAGATGAACACAATATGGGTGGAAGTGGAGAAGAAGCAAAATGGAAAGGAAAAGAACTCCAGGCAGTCCACCAGTAGCCTACTTCTCTCCTGCTGGACCACAAGAACAGAAGGGGAGTGCAGTGTGTGTCTTAGTCCTTATTCGAGATGGAACTATGTGAATCTGTTGTATTCATGTTTGTTTTTAGGTTTCTACAGCTTGTATCACTGACATTTTTCCTGTTTTAATCTATATATATATATATATATATATATATATATACATATATATATAGAATATTTCTTAACTGAAACAAAAACTGTCTCAGGTATTTTTTAATTGATTGTATATTCCCAATTAAGTTTTTTGGAATCAATGTAATATACATTCTGAGAACTACATAGGATGTGTGTATCTCAGTGTTACAAAGAGTAACAACTTGGCAGTTCATTCACTTCTCAACCTCTCTTCTCAGCCATTAAAATGCAAAATGACCAACCTAATACATGTCTGTCTTCTGTTTTGTCCCACGGCAGGTGATTGACATCAGAGAGAGGTTGAAGGAGTCCAGGAGGTTCTGGTCCAACCTGCCAGACGATATCTGTGCCAAGGGCAAGCTCACAGAGTCTGACGACGAGCAGTGCTGGAACAGCCACGCGAAGGGCAGGTGAGGACTTCTGCAACTCTTTCTTACCACAGCAAAGTCTCCCCGCTCCACAGTTATCACATTTTGCCTGCCAGGGATTAAAATAACCACACTGTGTTCCCAGATTAACACTCTCTCTGTAAGTACAATGGTTAGTGCTTATATGGAGAACTTCTATATAAGCTCTGAGGCTCTAATACCCAGGGGGCTGTAGAGTTTCCAACACCTCTTATCACCACCGCAGTGTGTAGCGTATTGCTGAGCCGTACAGTAGATTGGACAGTAAGTTGTTTTCCCTGACAGTGAACCAGAGACACTGGCAAAGAAAATATATCACCCCATCACTGTGGCCCTCTCCAAGTAGCAAAATCACCAGATGGTGCAATAAAAGACATGTTAATTCACTTGTTTGTGCCAGTACCTTTTTTAAGCATCATTCTAAATCTGGTAGGTAAATTGATTTCCTAGAGATAATAAAACGTCAGTAACAATCAGACCATGGGAGGACTGTGTTAAATCGCTGGATACTCCTCTTACTTAAACACAAACTACCCACACTACATTTTTTATAAAACTAATTAGATTAAATACAATCTTAATGGTGACTCGAGACACATGTACACATGTATAAACAGAAATAAGACTGCAATCACTGCAGCAAATAATTATTCCCAACATGAAATAGACTATTTAGCCTTTACACACTTATGTTTTGTCAGATTTAAGCAGCCATCATGAGGAAGAGTAGCCATTATAATTCTGTCTGATTTCAGTTGGTCTACTTTTGGGTTCTCACCTTGTCACACAAGATAATGAGATATTCAAACATGTTCCAAAAGAGATTATTAATGTGCGGTCCTGCGGAGAAAGCAGGGAAGCAACTTCCTGGTCAAACACACTTGAAAGAGATGGACACAATGGCTGCACAAGAGGCTGACACAGCAACCACACTGGCAAATAACAACAACTCTATCAGCTCTGCAATGTGTGTAATTTGATTAGATTGCTTTGGTTTGGCAGAGAGCTCTCAACACACGGCAATTTAAGAAAACAAATCCAAGTAGACACAACACAAGTAAATGAAGGGGACTTGATCACCGCTTTGATAAGATATATGATCTCATTTTAAAAGAAACACTGCAAATTTGGGGGGGGGGGGGTTGCAGTTATTTTTTGTTTTAAATTTGTATTGAAGATGTTTGCGATGTTTGCGATGTTTGCGATGTTTGCGATGTTTGCGGTGTGATAAGCTCAGCATCCATACAGTAGATTGCCTCTGATTCAGTCTCATTGATGCTGCTTGATAGCTTAATTTAAATGATCTTCACCTCATTAGAGACTGTACTACTTTTATTTCAGGCAGTTATTGGATGGTAAACTACAGAGAAATCTAGCATGGACTTGAAAAATATTCTTTGGTGCTTTATATTTGATTTTCACTTTTTTTTTTATTATTATTATCTCAAGGGACGGATTCCCATTTGATTTGGTGAATGCAGACGGTTGAAGCCTCACATTACCTTCGGCATTTTAGCTTTGGCTAAACTTTGCAATACATTTTTGCACGGATTTAGGCCTGTGAATTTTGTCCTCTATTTCAAAGCGATCTCTTTATGACCGGTATAGAGACGGGAAAAAAATATATACAGCCACTCTTTCAAGCATGTGATTTGTCAACCAAGCGTTTTGTAGTAAATCTAGAAAATATTACAATAACAATAACAATAGTAGTAGTAAACCTACAAACACTAGATGTTAGATCAAGATCTTTGGTGTGTGACCTGTGCAGATATTTCCCTGAAGTGGTGAAGGAGGGTCTAACCAACCAAGTGAGCAACCCAGAGGTGGATGTGGATATCACCAGGCCTGACACACTGATCCGGCAGCAGATCATGGCTCTACGTGTCATGACCAATAAGCTAAAGAACGCCTACAATGGAAATGACATTTACTTCCAAGACTCCAGTAAGTTCTCCAAACTCTCATGAGATAAGAATAATTAAAGCAAAGAGAGACAGATTTGTCTGTTGATTTCAGTCACCATATGGTAGTTTTGACACACACATGCATACGTTCTCTCTCTCTCACACACACACACACACACACACACACACACAAGAACAAGAGCACCCCCACAGAAATATAAACTGTTAATACCAAATAAGATCTCAAGTGTCATCGACATAGCAACTCATCATACAACTCCACAGGATGCATCAGTGTTGCACGGAGGCAAGACTGACATTATTAGGAGAGAATAAATAGCTGCAGGTACGGTGACAAACAGTGATGTACTCCTCTAATGCTGCCGTGACAGAACCCATTCTTTCTGTCTGACTCTGTGGATCCTCTTGGGCTGACAAGATGGGAGAATGTCTTAGCTACAAATAAAATGTGTGGCTGCATGACTATACTGCCCCCAAATTTTGTACCTCAACTCCATTTTAGTTGCTGTCACAATTGTTTTTCTGTTAGCATTGGTTAAACATCACAGACCCACTGCTGAAGCAACTAAAATTGTTGCATAGAGTTGCTGCAGGTTTACCCACTCACACACTCTCTGTTAGTGGAACATCCTCATTTAAAGATCAGCCTTTTGCGCACACTGCTATTTATAATCAGTTTTTTTTTTTTTTTTGCCTTTTTTCAATCATGTAAAACCTTTTTTATGCTCTGTATAACTTTAAAGGCCCGGCCACACCAGCACTTGTAACAAGTAGACATTTTGCATTAAAGTCAGTTCATTTCAATAAAGCCGCCCTGAAAAGCAAATTCATTTATGAGGGCTAAGTAAAATTGTTTTTCACAGGAATGGAGAGTCAAAACAGAGGGCGCTATCATTGCTTATTAGCTTTGCTGCACAATCCACTTTTATGCATTTATTTATTTTTATTTATTTTTCTCTACAGAATTATAAATTGCTCTAAAAACAAAGCATGGTTTGCAGACAGGTCAGATGTATAAATACAGCTCTGGAATAAATTGTGAGAAATCATTGTCCCAGTAGCGATCCAAGCTAACTGACTATGCTAAGTGACAAAAAAACTAGCTCATAGAGCTATAGTATCTGACTGGTGCTAGCCTTTTCTCAGCTTGCAAGCGAATTAGAAGATAGCTCACCACTAACAGTAGTAGTAGAGTAGCTGTGCGAGCAGTCACCAATGGAGGTGTTCGTTTCATGTACAAACAAATCTTTAACACCAGCCCCCAACATACGCAGCGTCAGAGGGCCAGCTTTTCTTTCTAATGCATCCACTGTTAGGCCTCTAGAAATAACTGAATCAGCAGGTAAACACATGCATGCTTGGATGTTATTATTGTAATCCATAATGAAGTCCTTATAATGCATTTAAGAAAGTCCAGACAATCTGAAAATACGCTCATCTCAGCATATTTCAGCACTCTTTTCTCAACATAGCGTAATTACATACAGTATTTTTCTCACAGTTTTTAGGTCTTCATTATACCCTGGACAAAGGTGGAATGCAATCTTATTCTGGCTCCATTTGCAAAAAAAAATCAAAGAAATTTAGAAACATTCAAGCAATATGAAAATAAGAAGGAAGCCCCTATTCTATTAAACCTGAAAACACAGAACACAAAAGTCACCTCTGTTGCAAATCGTTTGCTGAAGAGCTATCAACCTTACAAACAGTGTTTGGCCTAGTTTTGTACTAAATTGAATGGAACAGGTTGAACCAGCAACAATCTAAGCTTACTACAGCACCAAGCCTAACAGCGTTATGAAGGAGATGTGATCACGTATTTGGAAAGTCAGTGACTGTGAATCTTTGAATTGAGCTGAATGAAACGATTCAAATCGGCAAAGTGAGTTATCAAATTCTACCATTACCTGTATCACTGGAATGCATGAGTGAACTTCTCTGTACCACTTTCTGGAGAAACGAGAGCTTGATTCTGTATCCTCACTTCCCCATTGCCGTAGACCAAACTAATAGCTGCATTACATTTATGTAAATTTTAATTGATGTGATTTTGTTGCTGCAGGTGACGAGGGCAGTACCTCTGGCAGTGGCAGCGGCTGCTCTGACGGCTGCACAACAGAGTTTGTTTTTGTCGGAACAGAGGCTCCTGTAATTGGAGCTGACAGGAGCGATGAACGCGCAGCAGCAGCAGCCGCTGGCAAGTCCCTTTCCCGTGGACCCTCCCTACTGCTGGTGATGGCCGCCCTCACACTCCCACTTTGGGCAATGCAGACTCACTGGAGATAATACACGAGTGTGGCCTGATCCCTGACTTTTATACTGTTACATACAGTATGTTTAACAGCAAGTTCTACTGCTGTTCCCTCACTGGACATGTAGAACCTCCTGGAAACCTGTCAAGAATGGCTTACTGTATGGTAGGACTGGAAGTGAGTGCAGTGCTGCATCCTGCTCGTCCCCCAAAGAATGTGCGGTGCCATCACTGAACCAGCTTTCACATCTCTGAAAAAAAAAAGAAAATGTGGTGTTTTTTCATTATTCTAAAGCGGATTTTGAAAAAATGCTTCTCTTTTAGAAAGTCTCACCATCTCAAGATGGCTCTGTCAATGATTTTCCAGATGAAGGAGAATCTATTTTTCTTTTTCTTTGTATGATGAAGTTGTGAAATCGAGACACCCAGTTTATCCTATTAGTCTTCTCCCCCTCAGACAAAAGGAGAAAGTCTTACTGTGTGCATGCGTGGAAATGATGTTAATTGACAAAAAAAAAAACATTTTTTGGGATTTTCTTTTTTTTAATGCAGGCTACACGGTTTTGGATTGGTTGGTACAGCATTGTCCAGTGCTAGCAGTTCACCTGGTTTCCCGTTTGGTCATATCAGTGCAGCTTCAGGAAGCAGCAGTTCTTACAGCCACTTTATAGTTGCACATTTGATTATCTCTAAGAAAGTGCCAGTGTACTGCACTAAGAGATCTACTTTGCACAGATTATTTTTGTTGGCTTCATAAGTTTATAAAGCTTCAGGAAACATCCACCCCATAGAGAGAGAAGATCTATATTTTCAGATCATTTAACTGATTGTATTGTACTTAAAAACAGTTGGCGTATGTATTCCACAGGAAGGTACTGTAATGTAATCTTAATGGGTTAGTTAATGGCTACATTTTTATAAATGTATTATTTGTTTTTACAAGTTATTTGATCACCGTAAAATGACAAAAGAAAGTTTTCGTAACGACAGAAAGCCATTATGCTACAATTGCCTGCTAACAATGTTCAGTTACCTGATTTACACTCTTCTGTTTGTGCATTTAACATGCATCTAAACAGTTCCTTCTTATTTCTCAGAGGACTATATTAGAAATATTAGGTATATGTTAATGATATTTTCAATTATTTTCTTGGCTGCCATACTTTAATTATAAATGATTATGATTTATTTCCTATATTTTTCATGACATTTATATTACATATATGGGAGGTATGGAGAAATCGTAACCCTCGTCCTGTGAGCTCACATGTAGCCCTCTGACAGGCTCTGCAGATTTACCCACTCACATCTAATGAAGCATCACACTGAAATGCGCATGGTCTTGTTTGGCCAATGAGAACTAGGGATGTCACGACACCAGAATTTTGGTTGTCGGTACCAGTACCATTCAAATTTCACAATCCTCAATACCAAATTCGACAACAGAGGCTGCTGTGCACACAGTGTGCTAACATGTGTGCACATACACACATCTCCATATAGCCAGTGTGCAAGCAGTAGTTTAAATCAAGTTGACAGACATGGTGTAAAAATATCAATTTCAAAAGTCAGTGTTATATTTATCAGACTGAACGGTGATAATGTTAGCTTGCTAATGTTGTGAGCACCCAGCTCACATTATGAGCTGTCGCCTATGTTAGCCTAAACAAAATAACGTTAGCCTGTGAATGTTGTGTGTGGAGCTTTGCTTTGCTACAACAGATGCCAGCTGTCACAGATTACAAACTATAATGGTAACATTTCAGGACATGAGCATTTTGATGACATGTTGTTTATATAAATTTAACCACTGAAACTCTCTCACCCTGAATTCTGTGTACAGATGTGTATTTCTGTCTTTGGGCTCCTTAGATAAGGTTGAGGTGTTTCCTCCTTTGATTTGAAATGCTCTATGACACTGTTTGCATTCTGGCTTTTGGTGGTCTATAAACTGTCTCTGCTGATCCTCATCAAATGCAAAATATTTCCTTAGACCAGTCTTGGTGTGTTTTTGTTTTTTTCCACAAGTTGCGGTGGACCTGTTGCTGCAACCGCACTTGCTGCTCATCATTCCGGGTGTTATTGTTTACTGTGCCTGCCTCCGTCTTCTCTTTGAATTTGATGTCAGACTAGAGCGCTCGTCGGGTTATTTTACTGTCCCCATCAGTCCTGGAAGAAACGCATGTTAATACTGTAGAAAAACAAGTACCATGACATTTTCAGAATTTTGGCATTGACTTGGTACCAAAGTATTGGTTCTCATGACATCCCTAATAAGAAAAGACCCACCACCCCTACTGGCTACAGGTTGTACTCTTACCGGACATGTAGAAAGTCAGCAGCTGGAAAACAAGCAGGGTGCCGAGGTTAGAGGGCTGTGACTGTGCTTTTAGAACTAGTGTTACTATACATAACCTCCATTTTATCTCCTGCAGGCTTTGACCTCTAACAGGCTCTAGAGGCTTAGGGAGCAAAGCCAATAGCTTGCACTCTACCAACACAACACAATGGCAATGACCTCTGGTCACGCAGAAAAGGCAGGACCAGAAATGTTGCAGGCATACTGCTAAAACAAACCAAGGGCAAAATGTTCACTGTTACATGAAAGAAGGCCTTTGAGGCAGCCACCCTCATGCTGGACTCAGCCCATAAGCACCTGAAATGCACCTGAAATACTTGCACATAGCCAATAATTCTCTTGTCTCTACAGAGACCCTACCCACAGCCCATTGCTATAACAAATTGCCATCTGAAGTGAGCATCTTAAAAAGACCGTGCATTTAACAAGTTTCCTGTCTCTGTCGCCAGCATGAGGGAAGATTGAAAAAAAGCTTCAAGCTGCACCTTCCCTCTAAGACCTGAAAAATATCTGATGTTCATAGGCACAAATGAGAGGCACGGGCGAACAGCGGCACTTCTGTGGTCTCAAATGAGCGAACAACTAGAGTTGACTGATCTCTGCATTGACAAGGTTTGAGGCAGCATCAGAGTTGCCTCACAGACAGCACCATAAGGGGAATCTCTCCTCAGTGGGCTCGTATGGCTCACAAGAGAGACCCCAAGCACCACAGGAATCCCACTGCAGTACATTTGACCTGTGTCACCTCAGTGTCTGCAGAAACCGCCTAAGGAGTAGGTAACTGAACAGCAGCCTCCCACCAAAACCAGCGTGGTAAAATTAAATCACTGATGCATAATCCTTAATTGTGGAGTGTGACAGGAATGAACAAAAACTGCAGCCTGAGGAGAGACAGTGAACAGTGAACTGATCAACGAAAAGTCGCCCCAACATCAAACTGTCCAGTTCAGTAAAACAGTGCAGATTGTTCGTTTCCATTCACTTGTTTTTATGCACATGTTCAATTTGCCCATGTAAAACCTGAGTGGAAATGTTGGAAAACCACAAAAAAGCTTTTACTCTTGGGTGAGGTGAAAAGTTGGTGTATAGATAAAAACAAAGTGACAAACTCAACTAATCTCAATTACATACATAAAGCATGTGACGTTTGATGGTCTTGATCTTTCTCATTGTCACCTCTTCTGCGATAGTTGAATGTCACAGGACTGGAGATTTAACGCCCTCAACTGTCTTTCTCAATGCACCCAACTTCTAATATTTACATGATATTAGCTAATGGGAACATGCATTCATTTGCTGCATTCTCTAGGAGAGAATTTTAAGATGCGGGTTGGTGAGTGCATTCTGATTGGCATTTTAGCACATAAAGGGGTGAGTGTGCAAGCATGTCGAGCCTTTCTAGATCTAAGCCTGTATGAGATAGAACCAGGGGGTGCAGTGGAAACTAAACACACGTAACCAGAGTTTACCCACCTCTCAAAATCTAAAATAGTGTTTCCTCAGCTGTTTATGCAGACGTTACATGGGTTACACTCTATGGCAATTTTCTCTTGGATGTTTTGGATTGCTCATGTGTGATCTGCAGGATCACGGTGTCGTTACAAAAGCCCACCACCCAACTGTTAAGGAGCGCTGAAACAAACGAGAGATTCAGACGAGATGAGACAGATGGGAGGTAGTTAAACAGGATGGATATATAGCAGTAACTATTTATAATGTGCTGAATATTGAGTGAATTATTATTACAGTAACTAGCTGTCAGAGTTGATGTGCAGCAGCAGGTTTCCTGAGCTTTTTAGGGTTTTACCCACCGAGGAGTAGTCCTTGATTGCAGATAACTGCAGTAAAGGACATTTCATGTAAAAATCATGGTCTGTCACATGGGGCCATTTGAGCTCATGAAGCTTAGACTCATAAATCAGTTTTAGCTTGAGACGTTGACATCGCTGACTTGATACAGAATCTTCTGACTTTTAGAATTAAACACAAATAGGTGTTTTGTCCGCACTTTTATTTTTGCTGTGCAGTGCAGTGTCATATTGTTTCCCAAAACTAGACCCAATTGTGCAGTAACAGAGTTGCATTCAGATGAGCTTTGTGCTTTGGTGATTCTATAATTGGTAAATGAAATAAATATACAGTATATAACAGGAAGGGTCGATTAGAAGTGCAAATAAGTGGGTTATATATTTACAAGTCTAACAGCCATATAAATTCAGTTTTCAAGTATTAAGAAAACATTGTGGAGGCAGTTATTTCTGAGTTAGGGTCAGAGCTGAGGCAGAACAGTCAGTACAGTGTGTGTTCCATAGTAAGGCAGGACGTTAGCTGTGTGGCTTCAGATACTGGCATTGTTCAAGCTTTGGCACTGCTGCCTCCTCAGTGAAGCTTAATGGCTACATTTGTGAAAGTGTAAAAACTGCGTTAGCATCTGCAGCCATACAAAGTTTGGATGCTCACGAAAGAGAATCCACCACATCTGTCATGGCAACAACAAGACTTTTGGATGAGTGAGGGTGAGGCAGATGTGTACTGGTGTTCCTGAAATACAGTAAAGTAAGTGAATTAAGAAAAGACAGTTTCAGAAGAAGATCCAATTTTCCCAAAGAGCTCGTATCGTTACAAACAACAGTCTTCTCTCATCACGACAAGAGGTATGTTTGCCATTTTCCACTG